CCCCAAAACCCCAAAACCCCAAAACCCCAAAACCCCTCGACTACTGAGCCCAATGAAAGTTATAAATCTGAGGAAAGTTCAGCTGTAGTGGCAGCCTGACCTCTTTTAAGGAAATTTGAGATTTGTGGTAGAGGGGAATAGGCGAGGAGAGGAGGAGAGGAGGAAAGAGGGAGTGTAGCTAAAGAGAGCATTATTACAACGTTATTTAGAAGACCAATTCATGAGCCTTTTGTCCCTTGTGGAGGGTGAATACGTCTCTGAGGTATTTAGCTTCGGTCTTTCCCTTGATAGCAGCCAAAATTGAAGCATCAACAGCTTTTTGAGTGTCTTTCTTGGCTTGAGAAACTTCGGCTTTCTATATAGCATGTTAGATTTGTGTGATAGATGAGATTATAGAGAGAAAATAAGATTTTACCTTCTTCTTTCCGTCTTGGAAGAATTGCTCTTCTTTGGATCCCTTAACCTTGTCCTCCTTTTTAAAGTAAGCATCAGAGATGTCTCCAGTGTTGACTCCGTTAACATCAATAACTTTGGAGGTGGTGAGGGTATGCTTTTGTGGAAGTCTTAACAATGGCACGCCATTAACCTTGTATGGTCCTGTGACAAGAATATATCCAGAGTGGAGTTGTTTAAGGAAGACAACTCTCTTTCCTCTGAATCTTCCTGAGAGAATTACAAGGACCTGTCCGGCTTGAATGTTTCCCTTAAGCTTAGTTGGGTTTTGGGGTTGTTGCTTCTTTTCCTTGTTCTCTTCTCCTTTATACCAGTCGAATCTCTTAACCATTGTATTAATATCCTATACACGCCAAATGATTAATTTTCCTCTAACCATTGCTTTAAAAAGCAAACCGAATATGCAGAAAGTGAATTAAGATATGCCATAAAAAGTTTTGAAGTGTCCATTTACCTTAATAAATAATAATATAAAAGTATTTTCAAGTTATAATTACTAATTCGGGGTTTTGGGGTTTTGGGGTTTTGGGGTTTTGGGGTTTTGGGGTTTTGGGGTTTTGGGG